AGCATCAACAATCCATCTATTTCATGTTTAATTAGCCCTTCTTTCATCACATTTTGTTACTGAAGGTCAAATGTGGGTCACTTCTAAAAACTAATTGTAAAGTATTTAATATAATGCAAATTGAGAAGAGAAAATTGAAATATACTTCTGTACGCTTTGCACCAAACAGCATTAAAGTTAAATGCCTGAAAGAAGTCACCAGTGTTAACTTAATGACAACATTCCCTTTTTTTTTTCTCTACATTGCACTTGATGCTAGCATAACATTGCCATTTTTAGGATTATTATATATTTGCTTAGCTGAAAGTTGTGAAAAACTTTAGCCTTGAGAGTTGCTTCGTGATTCTAAAAAGCAGCCTTTGAGCCTCTGCGTGTACATGTGAGTCTGTACACAGGCAAGAAAAAAAGCTTTTCTGCGTGATTAAACTGATTGCCCCTTTAATGGGTGAATTTTTGGATCCTGTTAAGGCTGCTAGTGCATATTTATGAAGAAATGGATCCATTTAGTTGATAGATACAACTCACATACATGATAACCAACCAGTCAAGATGTTTCTGCAGTGCAACAGACTGATTAATGCCTGAAATGTTATGAAACAAATTAACTGGCTACCATACAAAGATTATTTAAAAAAAAAGTTAATTTCTATGTATTTTACTTTCATGGAAATAAGACTTCACAGGAAATCTATCTAGTTTTGACTAGTGTGTCAGCACACTCTGGTATGATAAACATTTCTCTTCACTAAACAGTACATTTCCAATGAGAAAAGGCATAGGGATAATCCATACAGGATTATAGAATTGCCAGAAAGCCAATACCCCAAGCAAAGATATAATACTGCTGAGAAATTCCTGTACTGGTTCTGTTAATTCTACTGATAGCGACCAGTGACTCTTAAACTAAAATAATAATAATAATAATTAAAAAAAACCCAACAACAAATCATCACCACCCTGACTGCAGTGTTGCAGGGAGTCAGTAATTACTGGCTGTTGAGCAGAGCAAACAAGAAAGAACCCAAGAGAATATGATGGCCAAAAAAATGTAAACATATAAACAAGGTTTAAAAGGCAAGTTCTTCAAAGAGTGTCTGTCATCGTGCTAATCTCACAGTCATGATTAAAAGTTTCAGTGAAATAAACCCGCTCGTATGCCACTACTTTGCACTGTGAAACAACGTGGAAAAACCAGTATAAAGAAGTATCTGTAGCCAACATGAGAAAATACACAATTCTTTACAATTAAAATCTATGATTAGAATTATGATTAAGGCTGCAACCCTCCAAGCTGCCGAATTATTCCCCTGAGGCACTGAGCTTTCCTTATCTTTGGCCATCTCTGCTGGAAGTTAGGAGCATCCAGGCTCCCCACAGGCAACGTGCAGCACCTGGAGGGCTCAGATTTTAAATCTGTGATCCAGAAAAACACTCACTTAAACTCATCCCCATTCAGCAAAACCCTTCTCTACGGCTTCAACTTCTGGCAACTGATGAAGACCCACAGAATACTAAGTGATTTAAACATTTGTTTGCCTTTAAGTAGATGCTAGTGCTTTACTGAATGGGAGAGAATTGATAAAAAGGAGGTTAAAAGAGTATTTCAGAGTGATGCCATGCTAAATAAGACAAGAATAAGAGTCAAACTTGCAAAAGATCTTCTAAAAAAAGCAACAGTGACATTTCAGAAGTTTACTGAATACTGAATTTAGTTTTAAACCTTGTATAAAACACCTGAGGTGAAGAAGGAAGAGAGTTACATGTTGCAGTTTTCTCCACCAAATCTCTCCTGCACAGGACTGTATCAAACACGGTGCATTTGGAAGTCATATAAGAAATTCAGTGCATTACCTTAGAAAGGAAGTATCAAATAATCCAGATGAAAACAACTCGCATTCACTGGGGCACCCCAAAGTATCAAATAATCCAGATGAAAACAACTCACATTCACTAAGGCACCCCGCTCAGTCACGTAAGCAGAGGCTTTATTTCCTGACTGCTATATTGTAGATGCAGGAAAGTATCAATTACCAATTCTAATTACACTAATGGGGAATTAGTGTTGCTCTCATCTCCAGTAACTCAGAGCAGGTGCGTTCTGCTGTGTCCACTTATTTGTTCTAAAACTTTATACACCTTCTAATGTCTCCTTAGAACAAAGGGGACCACCAACGAGTAGATAAAGGCAGCCTTGGAGATTTCAACCACGGTCACCTCGATGTGCCACTGGTCCTGTCTTCTACACAAAATAATCTGATGTACACCACGTCAGAACCCTTCATCTGCAACTGTTTCCCATTTCTTTCCAAACAACATCCTGAACAGGAGCTCCATGTGGTTTGGGTGTTCAAAAACCCCCACGTGTTTTGCCTGATAAACTCAGAACTGCCGCACTGGCGAGGTCTGGGATGCGAAAAGTCTACGTATTGTTTATGCAAATACATCTTAATGTCCCCACTATTCTGCAAAAAGTGTGAAGAAAACTATATAAATGTCACTCAGCAGCAAGCTGACAAGTACCCATAGGAAAGCAGGAACAGAAGCTTCATGTCTGATTGTCTCTTCTCTGAAGTCTGTTATTTAGCACTATTTTTACTGTTTTCTTGGACACTTAACTTATGTGTGTGCTCTACAAGAGTGCAGATAATTCCGACATATTTGAAAAATAAAAAGACAAGGCATCAATTGGATCTTGGCTATCAACTGCTCGGGCAAACTAACATTGTACCAAACTAAGCACAGGAAAACCACCGGGCTGAGAAATTGGGTTTGTAACAAACAGGATAAATAACGCAGCAATTTAGCACGTGCTTTTTTCTTTCGGCTTGATGGTTGCAAGCAAAAGTGTAATAAAGACTTTCTCTTCTACTAAGAAGCCTTCTAATGTATTGCATCTCAAAATAGATCCTTGAAAAAAAGTTAATTAATTCAAATCATTTTTGCAATGTAATCTTAAATAAGTTTTTATCAAGGAAAATAGTCATTTGTACGGGGTAATCCTTTACCATTCCTACACTTAGCATGCAAGTCATTCTTTTACACTGAAAATCAATTACACTTTGACGGTTTATAATTCATATGTTTAGATGAATTGCAGCAAGAAGAAAGAAGTAGTGTCAGATCAGCATGTATGTTCCACTGCTACTTTGTTATGCCAGTGTTCATGAAAACAGCATAATCTACTATGTGCTTAATAAGCCTTAGTAGATGGAAGCTGGGGAACTTTGAGCACTTTGTCTTTTATACAGACTATTTTCTAACTGAAATTGTAATGTACTCTCCAGGAGAGAGTTAAGGAAATGTATCACCCAGAAACTACTGCGTCAAACTGTTCTGTAAACCTGTATCACGTGCAAAACAACATACACAAAAACACTGGCAGATAGTGCAGCAATCGCAGGGGTGTTTGGGGTTTTGGGTTTTTTTGGTGATTTGGAAGACTGGGTGGCTCATACAACTCATTCTCCTTTACAGTATTTTAAGTATTTCGGAGCAGAATGCAAATACTGGCAACACATTGTAAAACTTCCATTGTAGGAGACTAGCAGACGTTTCAAAGTATAAAGAAAAATGTCATTGTGTACCATATTTAATGGTTGAAAATGGTTTAATACGTTTAATACGTTGAATTGTAGGAGACTAGCAGACGTTTCAAAGTATGAAGAAAAATGTCATTGTGTACCATATTTGCATGTTAATACGTTGAAAAGAAAGCTTTTTTTTTTTTTTTTTTTGTCAAACTAGTCAGAATTTCCCTGTTCCAGCCTTGGCTCAGTATTTACATGAATCAGCATTCATTTATCTCTAGACTCTTGTGTAACACACGCTGTAGCTGAGGAAACATTCACAATATTAGCTTTCATGAAAAAATGCAGTGGAAATCACCAGGTGGTTAAGTATCTCATTTTACTATCGCCCAAAAACTGCTCCCCTAAAGAAAAAAGACCTCTGTTCGGGCTACATATGTGTCTTATAAAATAAACAAGATAGATTCTTTCACTTAGGAGCTTGATCCTCCTCTGTGCTATCCCTATTTTATTTCCAGGACCGTAAAGGTCCAAGAAATAAAAGGTTTAGGTCCAGGTTTAGGCTCCTGGAGCTTTGGTGACCAGAGCTCTGTCACCGCAGCCGAAAAATCAGAGCCAAGTCACTTGTGGCACACGAGGTCCTCACGCCAGTCACACTGGCTGCAGACAGAGCCATGCAGCAGCTGCGCTGGCAAATTAGGGCCTCTCAACTCGAATGAATGAATTTCATGTGATATACAAGGGGTGGGGACAAAATAAAAGGAAAAAAAAAAAAAAAAAAAAAAAAAAAAAAAGGCAATTAAACCAAACTGGGGTGCGATTCTAAACTGGCTAACGTTTATGTCTGTTGAGAGCAATGAGTGCAATCTCCGTGGTGTAAATTAGACCGCAGTTTATGGCTTTCTAGATTATTTAAGCATTTGGGGACCTAATGAACGACATGGTAATTACAGCCATTAACGCTTCAGCGCGGCGGCTGCAAAAATCCACTCTCACCCACGGCTTTAGTAAGTGCCAGGCCGGCAAAAAAAACCCCAATTTTTCCCCAAAACACTTGGCTACCGAGGGGAAACTTCCCTCCTCGGTTGGAGCTCCCTGTCCCTAAGGAAAAGCAGCGCGGCGGCGGAAGGGAGAGGGAACAACCGCGGAAGGCGGTGCTGGGGGGGAGGGGGGACATAAGGAAGGGGGGGATCCTGACTCCCCAAAACCTCCGAGATTGGGCTGCTGGGGGCTGATAGAGGCAGCTCAGGTTGCCACACAGTCTGGGCTGGCGACTGAGTCCCTGGGTCGCCCACCCCCCCACACCGCGCCTGCGGAGGATGCGGGGGGGGG